TTCAGGTGCTAACGGTGTAATACAACAGAAGAAATTCGGAAAGCAGAAAGTGTTTGTGAGCTGACTGTGCAAGGAAACATCAAGTGTTTGCAGGGAGGATTAGGAGAGCCCCGTGGCGGGGTTGGTGGCGGTGAGGAGCGCTGAGCTTTGGGCTCCGCGGGCTGTGCCGTGGCTGCGCTGCGGGGCAGGCACGGAGAGCACAGAGAGAGAGCACAGAGAGCACAGCAGAGGAGAACAGAGCACAGCAGAGCGCACCATCCATCCCAGCACGGCCGGCAGAGACTCCAGTCCAGCTCCCACACAAATCTGCACCGGGTTTGAAAATCCACTCGGACCTGCCGAAGTAAAACCTTCACAAGCACAACTGCCTTTCGAATCGAAGTCCGCAGGTTTGCGGGGAGCAGGATGAGGAGGGGCACGGGCAGGGATGGCTCGTAGGGGGCCGGGTGCCCCGGGTGTGCCCTTAGCTTCAGACATGAGGAGAAAGCAGTGAGCATCAGCACCAGCCCTTTGGACAACAGGCAACTCGGCAGAGGATGTCCTATCAAGATGAATATGGCTCATTCAAGAATTAACTCTCTACTCATCTTCTACCTCAGTTTTTTGCTGCTCATCCATTTAAAAAGTAAGATTTGCACTTTTTCTTATTGTTCTGACATGTCCTCTGGGGAGATGGTTAGACATGCACTTCTAGCAGAAAGCTTGTGTTGTCAGAAAGCTTTAAAAATTTGATGGAGATGCCAAAAAAATTTGGTCCATGAAACTAAGTTGTATGAACTCGTTTCTCGATAGCTTTCCTGATCTCCATGCTTCGACCTTTTTTTTTTTTTTTAATAAGGAATGAAAGCGTTTTGTTGCTTCACATATTCAAGGTACAGTAATAAATTATTTTGCTAAAACTGTAACTATACCTTAAAGTCTGCTTTTTGATACCACTCATTCAGTAAATCTAAACCTTTCTGATTTAAATCTAGACAAATTTATCCTGTGCTTAAACTCTTCATATTATGTTTTTCAGTAGTATTGCTTTATTATATATACTTTTTAAACTACAGCCTCTAGAGAATGCAGTTATTAAACAACTGTGATGTGTTTGGTGTTGTAAAATATGCCCATTATGAGGGAGCATGAAAGTCCAACTACTTTTATAGAGAAAAAATGTTCTCGGCAAACTTCCACATGAACAGAAGTGTGCAAAATAGAGGAAGTCACAATGGGTTTCCTTGATAATTGTGTCAGATGGCTGAGAGTAAATGCAAGCCAAGGAGGCTAAATGGCCTCAGCTGGTGAGGCTGCTGTGTGTGTGTGAAAAGCAGCAGCTCTTGAACATGTTTAAAATGAAGATCTGCAGGATGTGTGCCTGAGGAGGCTGTTTGATTTGTGTCTGTTGCATGTGAATAGCAATAACACAAAGCTTTGAGCAGCTGCCATTAAACAAGAAGACTTGGCATTAGCGTTCAGTGTTGTGTAATCTGGGTCACCTTCTGTTGCTGCATCACTCAAATTGTTACTTGGACAGTTTACAGCCCAACATAAATTAAAGACTAAAAAGCAAACAGATGCAGTTGAATCAACCAGCACTGAAAAAAAATCCCACACTTGAAAATATAAAAATACAGAATGTTATGGAAACATAATTTTATGCTAGTAATTTTCTTTTTGGGGGTGTACTGATGTGAATCAGGGAAACCAAAGTGCTTTTTCTAAATTAACTCACAACAGGACATACCCTAAAAAAAACCCCAAAAAACAACCAACAACTGGACCTTTAACTTTTACAAAGTAATTTTCCAAGTTCATCCTGTAGGATGAACAACCAGAAAGTCTCTAAGAAAGAGTCTGCTGTCTAAGAAAAGGAACATAATAGTAGTTGTGTTAGATAAGAAATTTTCATTTTTCCATGAGGCAGGCAAATCAGAACAAAATGTAAAACCTTTGAGAAGGGGAATTAAAGTTAAGTTTTATAAATTAAGAAGAACATATTAAGAACATCATGCACAAAGAAAACATTGCTAGAATGAAATCAAGAAAAAAGTCCCCAGGAATCAGTTTAAAGGAAAAAGATAAATACAAGTTTTGGCTTTCACCTCAGGTGAGTTTGCTCAATGCAGGATGCCAAAGGCAAGGAAAGTAATTGTGTGTCATTTTATGACTTTTCCTCAGCCCACTTAACTGGGATGACACCTCAGATGTGGCACGGGTGCTCTCTGGGTTATGGCCATATGGCCACTCTCAAGCAAGGGGCTTTTCAGTCTTGGAGAACCTTCTCAGGTAGAACTGTGGCTGTTGCCACAGTGTGACACAAATTGATATCCCAGGATGGAGCAGCTGCATCAGGAACCAGAATCAGGCTCAGGACCATACCTCTATCTGTCAGTGCTGGGTATTTAATGATCTTGAGAGGTGTTTTCTCTTTAGAAAGCTTGTACCCCACTTGAAACTGCGAGCAGTTTCTGTTAATAAAAACATAACTGTGAACAGATGAGACAGAGGTAGAAGCAGAACTGACTGTAATTACTTCCCTACTTAAAAATTAAAGCTGAGAAAGACCAAGACAGAAAATGAGGATAAAATGGAATGGAGGTGATTGATGCTATTTATAGAAGTTGTATCTGCTATTACATTTTTAAAATCAGTTTACTGCATTTGTTTTCCCCCAAAGGATTCTAATCTTAGGTCCCGTTTAAAGGCAGAATGTTCTTTATAACTATTTATTCTAAATAATTTGGAAAAGAAATAGTATTTAGAAGCCATGAACTCCGTATGCAAGCATTCAATACAAGTTGGGTTTATATGGCATTTTGTGAACATCATTGGTTTCTACAAATGATACCAAATTAACTAGTCACAGAAAATTAATCTGGGGGCATGCAGAGATGCCCAGCTCTGTGTGCAGAGGCACCAAGAATCATTACATACAACAGGTGACAGGAAACATGTCCCAAGTCCAGAACAACACTGATAACTCATTACTGCCATACTATTGTCTAACAGGAATTACAAGCATGAAACTGTGGGCAGGGAGTTGCTTATGAAATAGAGGAAGAGAAATTCTGATAAATACAGATATATTTAGACACCAGTTTTATCAGTGATCCTGTCTGAAGTCAAGATCAAAATCTTTTCATTCAATATTCAAGTATTGATTTTTTTTAACAAGTTTTACAATGGATTACCTATCACTACTGCAGAACTGTCTTCCTTTTGGGAAAAATACAGACAAATGATATTTTGAGGTCAAAACTATTGCCCATATAAGCTGTGGATGGCCCATCTCTGAAATAATTCAAGGCATGGTCTACTAGAAGTTGTCCCTGCCCACAGCAGTGGTTTTTAAACTAGATGAACTTTAAGGTCCTTTCTAACCCAAATCATTCCGTGATTCTATTTTTCTCCATTCTAGTGACCTTTCAGCAGAGCTGAAAAAATGTATTATTTACTTCAAAAGCAATGCTTCATAAATTGTTCAAATATTCATAAATTAAGAATGGAAATTCATTTGGGATTGCTGTTAATGTGAGCAAAGTATCTGAGCTCTACTTGCAGCCTTTTTCTACCCCTCTGAGATGCTGGCACTATGCAATTTTTCCCGGTGGACAAGAACTCTTAATTTCACACAACTATTCCCATTACTCACAAAACTTCTAATTACTGCTTAATTACTGTGTTAGGAATAAAGCTCTGCTTATAAAGAGATTTGTGGTTGTGCTCACACTGCTCATCCCTCATGCACAGCCGGGTGATGTAAGGAGCTTTCCAGCAATGCCTTGTTAGTGTGGTTTGATGAGTTCACAGCCCATTCGGCAGCTCCTCATTAGCCCTCCGTGGAGCTGAGCCTGTCAGAGCTGCACTCGGCAGCCCTGCAGCCCTGCTCCCTCCTGGCTGTCACACATGGCATCTGGAGCACAGCAAAAATGAAACATCCTTCAGATGTCTGCCATCATCTCCAGTAAGTTAAAAGCAGCAGCTTCTTGACACAGTTGTGCTGGGTTGGGATTTTTTTTTTCCTTTTCATGTATATATTTTATTATGGATAACATCTCCATCTCTGGAATGGAACTAAATAGTAAGAATGAAAACTAGTAGCCCTGTAACTTAAGAAAAAAGCAGTAACTTCTGCAAGATACATATGTAAAAGTGACATTAAGAACATCCCAGCCACAACTGTACTTGAGCCACTCAGTTCAAATTCTTACAAGGCATCCTTAGGGTGCTACATCTACCATTCCAAGAGCAGAGAAGCATACCAGGTTACAGACCCCTCTCTGCTCTGTGCTCTGTAACTTGGGAACTGTCACCACTGAGAACCTCTGGAGATTAAACATTCCCCCACATCCCATTCTGTCATTCAGAAATTACAAAGTGCAAGATATCAGATATTACCCTTCAAATGACAGTGATTTTGGCAGTACAGGACAAGCCACTGAATGATGTATTCACAGTCAGGGGACCAAAAGGGAATTCTGCAGCAAGGACACAGATCAATCTCTGTAAGCAGGTTGTTTGTGACTAATGACCTATTAGGAAAGAGTCTGAGGGGCAAGAAAGGAGGTTGTGCATAAAGGTGTTTTATCATTCATGCTTAACCAGCAGCAGAGACCTCACACAGGTCTTGGAACATTGGTGTATGTTATCCTGTATCCATGATAATGGACTGGAGAAACTGAGGCTGGAAAGTTAATTTAATACAAGCAGAGGATATAAACCTAATGTTTTAGGTTATACATAACCTCTCTCTCTCCCCCCAGTATTTTGTTCTCCCTATGTTACTTTGATAAAACTAAGCACCTAGGGAGTCTTTTCTCTACACCTTTTCCTCTCTGTTAGAGGAAGCTCAGAAAAAAACCCAGTGCTGTTTAGAGAGTGCTCAAATTTTGATGGCCAAATTGGGCACTTCCCCACTGAAAAGTTACAGGGAAAGGCAAATATTTTGCTGTTGTGTGTTGACAGTACAATGACTTGTAAGACACAGGAGAGCAATCAAACCACTGTTTAGTACTGGCTGTAGCCAGTTTTGAGTGCTGCTGTGAACAAGAGAGAGGCAATTAGGAAAATGCTGGAAAGGGACAGCAAAAATAGAAAGACATTTAGAAAGATGTGCCCTCTGAGAAAGGGTCACAGGAAAAGAAGCCTAAGGGAAGACATGATTACAGTCTTACCTCCACAAAAGAGAATGGCAATCAAGGATGGTGATGAGATCAGTTGCTCCCTGTCACCTCTAGAAGGGCAGGCTCTGGAAAATAATAGATTCCATGTACCTCAGGGAAGATTTGTGTGAACTTTTCCAACTGAAGGATAATTAAGAAACTATATCAGAACTTTTTAATGAATGGCTTAAATAAATATCTGCCAGAGATTGTCTAGACTGCTGTCTCACAGCTGGTGTTAGAGACCAGGGGCAGTCAGCACCACCCTGGGGGATCTGTGAAGGTCTCAGGGAACAGAGCCCCAGAGAGGCACAGGTGGGGATTTGTCCCAAGGGCTGTGGTGGCACTGAGGCTCCAAGGCAGCTCAGGAACAGCTCTGGGGCAGGGTGAGCAGATGGCCCCCTTCCCTTCTGCACAACTGGGGATTATGTGTGTGCAAAACAAAGGCAGCCCTGAGCTCAGCCCCCTGTGCTGCAGCAAAAACAGAATTGCTGCCTAAATTTCAATGAGAAAATAATTTACTGCCATTCTCTGACACATCCAGACCTCTTATTTTTTGGCACCCTAGACTTAAAATAAGCACTTTGGCTACTGAAGGCACTGATTACAATGAGAACAGAAAGTACCCCCATGCTAGAGATAATGCAGTTTGATTTCTGGCTTTTGGAGCAAAATCACTTATATTTTTACTTGCATTTTGAGTATACTTGATATGTTGAGAGTATAATGCAAGAAAACAAATTAATGAATGGATTATCAATATCAAAATTTTCATAGGCAGAAACCTGAAAAGGAATGGAAAACAAGGATTGCCTGCTGAACCTGCCAGCTTCTCAGTTCATATAAAAAAGCAATGCAAGACTGGAACTTACTGCACAAAACCAAACAGCAGTAGATTCCTAGGAAACTGTTCCAACTGGCCATTCTGGATACAGTGCAACAAATTAACAATGGAATAGGAGTTCTGCTTCATCTAAGAGAAGTTTAACATTTTATTTTGATGGCAGCAAAAATTACTTATTTATGAAATATCAAGATTTAAATATATATATATATCTCCAGCCAGCTACAAAGCAATAAATAAATATGTCTTAGTCCATGTCACTTAACTTCCTCTAATAAGTAAGTTAGAGAAATAGCAACCTAAGTGCTTTTGATCCTGCCTACAGTGGTTTGCAGCCAAAAGCCTCCCAGGGATACTTCTACTTTTGGGTTTGTTTTCACAATTCACATTCCAACATTAAGAAAATCTTTTAGACAATGCGTCAATCTCTAGGCAAACTTGAGTATTCCCTTTGCTCTTTGTGGTGGCCCAAAAATGGACAAAAGGCCCATTTTCTAAGGGAAGCCTTTAAAACTAATTGACTCATCTGGAGCAAGGAGATAAGTGATACATATTACTTTCCAGATTGATTTCACAGATTAATTTGTTGGTTTTAGGGACTGACATGTTGTGTCAGCTCTCACTGTACTTCTCCATTACCAGTGCTATATCATATGAAAGCCCTCTCACACCAGCAAACAGCAAAAAAACCCAAACAACCCAGATAAACCCTTTTCCAATGAGATTCTTATCTTTACTTCATATTGATTATATCTTACTCACCCATAAAATGGGTCAACAGGAAGCTGCTTCCATCTTTTGACAAAGACTGCAGCTGACAGGGCCTCTGGGCGGGCACCACGCAGCTGCCACTGCAGCTCTGCAGGGCTCCTCCAGGCCCAGCAAAACGTCCCTCTCCAGGCATCAACAAAGCAAGGCTGCTGCAACTTCAGGGTTAGGGCAGCTTCTGCCTGCCTGGAATCTTCTCAGCGGGGACAGAAATCAGAATATTTCAAGGGCTAAATATTTCTGTGGGTAGAAAAGGGGCATGGGCTGCTAACCCGTTACTGTGTCCCCTCTCCAGCAGCTAAGGATCAGGGCACTTGCCTAGTGCATCCTTCTGTGCTGGGAAATGCTGGGCCTGAATAATTGTGGCCTGGGTGGATGCTGGCAGGCAAGGGGAGAAACTCCTTGCTTCTTTTTACTGCTCTTGCTTGCCTGCCCAAGGCTGAGCATACTGGCAGCCTAGTCCCTTAAACTTTTCCTTGAATAATGAGACAAACAAGGCATCTTTATCTGCATTAGTGAGGGGCTTTGCAGACAGGACACATTCCTTCAAAGTGCACTCAGTCACAGGGATTGAGATCAAGGCTGTGAGTAAACAAACAAAACTTTGTAATGCTCCCTTAGAGCTCAGCCATGGACACAATGGCCTGGCAGTTCCTTTGCTGAGGTTTCTGAGAGGTACAAGGATGTTCCTATAGTGTGGTGCTACCAAAGGCTGACTGTCCTCTGAAATAAAGGCCAGAGACACTGTAATTTACATCCAGACAGCCAGGGAGGCTATAGGCACCCTAAGAGGCAGTGTACACTGGCCACACTCTTCCCTTGACAGCTCCAGTCTCCCTTGCTGGGTTTTCCAACAGGATGATACAGAACACTTCATTAGCTCTTTCTTCCACAAGGAGGGCCCCAGCTCTGAATTTGACTGTGACACATTTCTTTCCTTCTTTGAATGTGAACTAGAGGACTTTGAAACCAACGTAATTTGACAGGAAGCCAAAGGAAGGATGGAGAATGATAGACAGTCATCAGTCTGCAAGGATCCAAGCAACAGCAATTTAGGTAACCTGCAGTGACAGATTACTCATAGCAGGGAACCCAAAACCCTCACTGTAATAATGTAGCCTTGAAAAGACATCTGTATACAGCAGTACTTCAGAGGTGCTTAGCCAAGCTTTGTGGCAATTTGTAGGTGCTTCCAAGGCAGCTGTGGTACCACTCCTGGTATGGCAAACCACCCCTGCGTCTGAACACAGTGAGTGTCCACACAGCTGAAAGAAGAGATCAGGCTCTGGCATCTGCAGTGAACAGCCTGCAGTGTAACTCACCACCCTCCCAACAGCTGGAAAGAGAGCCCCTGAGAGAGTGTCTGAACTAATACACATCCCCTTGCTGCTCCTTGGGCATCAGCCACCTCTGCTGCAGGAAGGGTGCAGCTGTGCTGGCTGTAAGAAAGACAAAAACACTACAGAGGTCTGACACGGTGTAAAGAAATAATAACTGTGCCTGCCCTTCTCCAACAGCCCCTTAATTTCCTTTGATAACCCCACAAATAAGATACAGAGAGAGAAGGCACAAATCTTGTGAAATAAGCAATTAGAGGCTGCATAACAAAAGAAATGTGCAATGCCAGTGAGGAGAAACCAGGGAATGACACTGATGTGTCAGAGATTGCATCAGAGCTATTAAACAGGATGGAAATATGCAAGGCCCTTGTAAGCTCTTCTTTTCTCTGTTCAATCTTAAAATAATTCTGAAAGCAAGCCAAGCCTCCACTGATTCCTACCATAAAATGTAGGAAAATATGTTTGTGGAATGACAACCCAAGACTTTTTGATCCCTGTCTGTATATATATTTGGAGCAGAATGCAAGTAGGTCCTCTGCGATGCAAATAGCAAATGTCTGGCCATCATTTTGTAGCACTTACCAATTCTGTTTTTCTAACTAAACCCATCCCTTCTCTCTTATTAAATACAGCTGACATTTGTAATTCAAGTTGTAATACTAATGATACTGAACATTTTGCAAGCCTCAACCCATGTTAAAATGCCCTCCGTTTGATATAACAAGAACTATCCATTCTGTTTTCTCATGAGTATGTCTTAAATGTCTGATTCAATTTAGTCTAACATTTTCCCATTTTGGAGCTCGTGGAAAAATGCAAGAAGCTTAAAATTACTAAAATCCATTGCCATTTTCACATTCAAGAGGCTATTTCCAAAGAATATTGTGTTTCCTAAAAAACAAGTGGGCATCTTGGGATTGCCACTATTTTGCACAGTAATGAAGTGACAAGACTGAGAGGTGTTTGGAGCAAACATTTAATGGAGCTAAACAGCAGAAGGCAGGACTGACACTGAACACCTTTGAAGTATCTGGATATAAAAACCTTTCCAGCAAACAGACTGACCTAGTGATCTGACAAATTACAGAAAGGAATAAAAAAGGGAGAAATGTAGCTCTCTGCACACAGCACAACAAAATCAGATCTATTTTTACAGTGTTTCTACTATAGCCTTAAAGCCATAAACACTCCATTCTTCATTTTGTTTGGGGATTTGCCCACAGATTCATGCAGGCACTTTGTGTTCCCAGAGATCTCTCTGAGTGCTCTCTCTGCCCAGTGACCAAGGAAAATACCCTAGAGTGGCCCTCCTGTATCCCCAGCCAGCACCTCTGAGCTGCCAATGCAGTCACACGGGCATCTGTTGCCTGTAATTCTGCTATTCCACAAGGAATCTTGAGCAGAGTTGATTTCAGGTTTTGTTTTTTCTGGTTTCCTAAGTCCATTCATTTTGTGTTATGTCCAGGGAGGACCAGTACGGCTTTGCTTATGAAACCAGGAAGTCAAAGGTTGTAATCAAGAGTGAGTTCTTTCCAAGGAGATGGAGAATCATGTCTTTTGAGATGTTTGAGATACTTTGATTGACTGGCAATCAATTACTCTGCTTGTTATATTCCAGCTCTTAAACTAAACTTGGAGGGAACTGCATTCTTCAATACTATTAGAAGCAAATGGAGACTGTTATTACACTTACTGAGAGTTTTAGTACGAGAGATAAGCAGCATCACAAATGTGTTTGCATCAAATGTGTTTGCATCTTGAATTGCAACAATTTCTTCTTTCGGCTAACATAAAAACATTTTCTAGAGGGAACTCACACAACAACTACCAATGCTATTTAATTGTGCTTCAGTTTCAGACAGATTGTGTCAACATTTCTACAGGCAGGGGAACTATTTCCTTACTTTTATTAGCATAACTGCAAACACTCAGAGAGATTGATTTTCCTGTCTTTTAAACCTGCACATCTTTTATGCAAGGGCTCTGAATCAGTCTGAAGAATTCTGGGTCTTCATGGGTGACTGCTTCTTTTCTGCAATCCCTGATGAGCACCAACACTTTCATTAACCACAGGCATGTGGTTACACATGCTTACAGTAAACCTGGCTTTCCAAAAATAAGAAATTTGTACTAAATCATCAGAGAAAGTTCCGAGAAGTAGTCACAGGCAAAGGGCGCTGAGCTTTCTGCTCTAGTTGATGCAGTGTCTTGGACTAGATGATCACCAATAGTCCCTTCCAATGCTTTCTGTTCCATGTGAACCACTTGGGTTTTAGCTGAGCCTATTACTACAATGCTGGCAAAGCAGCCACTTCAGGGAGTGTATCATAAGTGCTGTCTCACCAATTCTGACACATCTTTTACCATTCAGTAATAAAAGGTCTTTAGAGTTTTTTGGATGCTGGTTAGTGACAGGAGAAGTCGCCAAGTGGAAAGTATGAGGGAAGAGACTGCAATGCATATTTCCCCAAAAGGGGAAAAAAATCACTTACTAGATTCATTGGAAAAAAAAAAGAAAAAACAACAAAGAAGTAGTCTCCACTGTGTTACCACTGTAGTGCAGACTCACCTACTATCTCTTTAGGACTTCCTGCAAAGTAGTAGGAATGTGAATGTGGCCCTGAATAAGACCCCATGCTCAGATATTAAGGATGAAAACAGTCTTAACACAGAGGAAACTCCTATGTGCAGAGCTTGAATTCTATAATGAATGTTCAGTTACCACAGGGACATCTGTAAAACTTGTCACTTGCCTTTTTAAAAAGGTCTAGTGTTCTTAAAATCTTGACCTCAATGAGAGGTCCAGTGATTCAGCCTTTCAAACTGCAGTCATGCCCTATTCCAGCTATTACATGCTTCATTTCTGTTAATCTTCTCTAATTAGTTCTGCTTTTTAAGTGAAGTCTTAGAATCTAACATTTTCCTGTGATAATACAAAGGGCTCTGCTTTCATGTTCAAGGTCAGTCCAGCATTTCACCTTGTAAAACTCATTTGTCCTCCCTGCACTTACACTTGCACCTTGAGTTTGAGTTTAGACTCTCTCAAAGACATTTGCTGACTTTAAAGTTATCCTTAAAGGTGTGGTCATGCCCAGAAGAGTCATACATGTGGGAAAGAACAGACTTCTTTCAGATTCTTTCTCTTCCTTGCAGATATGCAGAGAAAATTTCTCCCATTAAAATAATTTCAGCTTTTTCCCTGTGAGTTACTTTGCATGTTTGTTTTATAACACATAAGCAGATTGGGCCTCACAGCCTGCAAGGAGACACATGACAGTTGTATAGGTGAGAATGCTGAGCTGAGAAGGGCAGGGTGAATACCTTGCTTGCAGTGAGTGTGCTGTGAACACAATCCAAGTGATCTCCCTGTTCAAACCACTAAATTTAGATCTTGTGTTTCTCCCTTCTTATGTTACACACACATTAATATAGATATGTATTAGCAGGAGGACAAACATACAGTTTTCCAGATTCTTCTTGTGCCTGAGAGATCTGTAATATGGCAGGTATTTCTTTTGTAAAAATGGCATTATTGTTTACTCACTCTTATAACAAATGGAGGCACTTTTTGTATGTGCAATTTCCATTGCTGACTGTAAGAATTTACATATCACTCCTTCCACTGATCACTCTTAGCTGCCTCTTTTGAAGGGACCAGGTCACTCACCTGCCATCCCAAAGCCCTTGCTGTGTGAGGACTGCAGAGACCCAGGGATTACTGGAGGCACATGATGGCTGAGGTGTGAACACTAATGGGAGGAGGCATCTGAGCCCCAGGCAAGGATCACACTCTTCTCCAGCTGATGCTCAATCCAAAATGGCAGACTATTTTCAGGTTAAAAAAACCTTAACTGGGCAAGGGGGAGAAGTCAGCCTTCAGTGATAGATAACCTAGGCTGCAATCAGTTTGAGCAGCTTCCTTTGAGCATTGCTGCTGCAGCTGGAGATAAAATTTGCAGTTCATCTAAATGGGTCACCCAGGCTTGATGCTTTTATACTTAATAAAAAAATGCTGTCATGAATTGCAAGTAAGCATAAACCAGCAATAGGATAATGGTAGAAAAGCAAGCATTTTAATGGTTCAACAAGTAAGAAATTCTGTTAACTATTCAACCTACCTCCTTAAATAAATTATAATAAATATGTAAATGCAATATATGGAAAATACTTGGCCTTTTCAATTTTGAATAGTTAATACTTAATTCTTATATCTGAAAATATAATCCCTGAAGTATTTGGTGGAGTTTATGGAACTGTTTATGATTCAATTTTTCTTAAACCTCTCCAGTGGGATTGATACTGTTATTTAGAAATTATTGACAACAGGGTGTCTCTTTTTCCAGAACTGCAATATATTGACAAATTTCCCACTAAACCCTCTTATATTCAATTATCCAGAAAAAAGAACAGAAATAGTAGAAAACCCTTTCATTCTCCCCATCTCTAAGGCAGAGGAGGAAGAAACAGCACATGCACAAAGACCAAATTCACAGATTTTCTGCAAGACCAGCACCTAATTTTAAAACCTGAAAACTGTTCTAAAGATTAGCACCTCACTCTGCACAAGCCTTCAGTAGAGATGTACTGTAGTACAGGGCTTTGGTACCAGAATTTAGCCCCAGATGAGCTGCACTTTTGTACTTTACCCATCCTTGTGACAATGTGTCACCTTTTCAAGGATATTTCAGAAAAAAAAAAATACACTGTGGAGGTAAATTGTGCCTTAACTCTGAACTGATTTGGGAGCGGGACACTCAGCACCTTTCAGTGCTAACTATCCACAAGCAGAGGTCTTGTCTCATGACACCTAATAAAGTGTCTGGTAATCACATCAAGGGGGAAAACCCTTCACCTTCCCCTCGGTGGACAATGCAACATCTTTCCTCCCTGAGGTACACAGCTTAGAAAGAGAAAATAAGTGTTAGGGAACATCATCTAGTAGATGACACGGGACAAGAGTAATGGACAAAAGACACCCTCACAAACTGCTTTTCTAAGTTCTTCTTTACTTCCAAGTTGTCATCCAGACATGTTCCTAGAGCACTAACTTAATTACCTCCACTTTACTCTCTCTTGCTCAGCGCATGGTGACAATGGTTTTATCCTGGAAATATTTTCTCTACAGAGCACTCTGAGTACTGACAGCTCTTTTCTCTTTCCCTCCTTCACACTGTCACCCTTCTATATTTGCCTTGACACTGTCTTCACATTGTCTTGACATTGTTCTGACAGTCAAGAAAACTCAATCACTGCAGCAAACAGCCATGACAATGCGGAGAAGAAAAAGGAAAAGTGTTATGAAAATTGTTGAGGAACTGTGAAGATTTACAGGCTAGTGAAAACAAGATTTTGCTTTTTCTAAACCACATTCCTCATGAGTTTTCAACAAAAAAGCTGATTTAACAAAGTCTTCAGCCAAGGCTGGCAAAAGTAATTTCCAAGGCAATTGGCAGTTATGGATTCTATACCTGAAATTTAGATGTTCCTAAATAACAATCCCTCTTACTGCCATCAGTTCAGGTACATTATGGGAGATACTTCAGCCCATCACCTGGGGAGCAGGGATGCTGCCTTGGAACTCTCCAGCTACACTTTTCCCAAGTATGCCATTCAAACTGGGATCCCTTTGGGGGCAACCAGAAAAGAAAGGCGGCCACAGAAAAAGCAAATTAGGTTAGCTGAGCTTTAGTTTCCTTCTAATAATAAAATCAAATTTTGTTTTGTTGGCTCACAAATCAGAAGAGAGGAGCCTGGAAAGAAAGCATTGCAATCTGTCTGACAAATGCCAAATGTTGTGATAACAGGTAAAAAACCCAGCACAAGTAGGGTAAGTTTAGTATCTATTTCTCTGCTTGAACTAAACTTCTGAGTAACTCCTTAACTGAGTATAGTATGGACATACTAAAGTGCTGCACTTGACAAGTTAAGCTTTGTGATTCAACTGTTTGACAAAATTATTGTTGATTTGAGTAAGAATTCCAACCATCAGGAACCATGTGGGGAGGGTTGAGGGGTTTTATTTTGTGGTTTGTTTGTTTGATTTAGAAAAGCATATATAGTTTTGATACTAGTTCAAATTCTTAGTAGTTACAAGAACACCTAGGTAATAAAAAAATACCTTTAAAAATTACATTATACTATCTTGGCATGCATACCATCCACATCTTACCTGAAAAATGCAGTTAAAGCTCATCCCTTGCAAAGCAGAAGCTCATCAACACTGCTCTGTAGGGCACCTGCGGGTCACACAAGCTTGTCCAAGAAGAGCATCTTCTCCCCTCTCCTCCTCCATTACCTCAGATTGCTGTCTTCTCCCTAAAGAAATTAGGGAGGGAAGCCATGTGAATCTTGTTCCCCTTGCCTCAGAGCCCTGGGGACAGCAGGGCTGGTGGCCAGGCACTGCCCCTTCCTCACAGAGAGGCTCTTCTGCAACACCTCCCATACTGCAGGGCCATCCTGGCATCCAACAGCCAAATGAGGTGGCACAGGCTCCAGGGCTCCATGAGACCTTAGCCCAGTGCCCTTCCAGGTCCCTGAGGCAGGAGGAGCAGGAGCCTGCAGGTGCTGATTTGTAACCTGCTGACAGAACTGCCCCTGCCTCTGCATACCCACCCCAACAGGAATGTCACCCACATGGCTGGGGAGACAAACCCTCTGCTTTCTGAGTGCAATTCAGGAAATCCTGAATATATCTCTGCCACACATCTCCAAGATTGCAGTGTGAGGAAAATGTAAGTGAAAGCTTCTTATGAGACAGAATGTACAGAAATAGACCTCTCTCAGTCAATTAATACATTTTTTTTATTACAAGGATGAATCAACACATGCTAAGAGTAAAGTGAACAAACACATATGCAGATTGATGCTCACCTGGTTAATTTCATATGTTTAATCATGATGACCAAAGCATAGGTAAGATAAAATTAGCCTAAAGAGTCAAGGCAGAAACAATATGCTTCCATTTATCCAGAGAGAAAACTGAGCTTCAAATGCTTTTGCCTGAAGTCACTTGATGAAGCATGGTCTTGATACAATTAAGAAAATGGCACAAAGGAAAGGTCTCCACATAAGTGCAGACACTTCTGAACCATAGAATATAGCATTTGTTCTAAATGCTGTATTGGGTGGATATACTGCAACTGCTCTGGCAAGCTGAATGACAAACATTTTGGTGCTTCCTTCCCACACTTTTATGTCTACATGCTCCCTTTATTATTAATGGTATAATATTTGCTACAGTAGGTTATCATGGTCAAATCAATACCAAAGTGCCTTGAAAAACACCAGAGCTGAACCCCTAATTAAGTACAATATTTTGTTCCTTTTAAATGAGACACTGCTTGAGGAGTACAGTAAGAGTGCCTTGTTCTGTTCAAGGTATCTATAATTAATAACCCCAATGATCAAAGGAAATGTGATCCTAAGAGGAAATGGCTTTTGAGGATCCCTAGGTATTAAGTACTGAGAACTACTTCCCAATCTGTTCTGCAGCCTCTCAGCACACTATGATGTCTGATGCCCTTTGGGATCATAAAACAAGCCCCATCATAGATCTCTCTGAAAAAAAATGCTCCCAGCAAGATAGTCACTAGATATTTATCACTTATTCATTATTGCCATGAAATCTTTCTTAATTTTTTTCCTGGTCAGACCCTTACTGTCACAGAGATCTCCTTTATTTATTTAGCACAATTTAATATAAAGCAGGGCAGGACGCTGCCCTATAATGTACCCTGTACTGGCAGGTCTGGACTGGTATTGTGAGGAAGGCCCCTTCTCCCAAAATTGATATTCCTTTTGCTTTTTTTCATGAGTGTATTGCACCAAAGTTTATTGAGATAGAGTAAACACCTGGATGTCAAGCTGTGGAGCCTTTAGTTCCCTGCTCCTGCTTGGTCTTATTTTTCACTCCCCAGCCACCACACCACCCACAGCCAGAGCTCTCCCTGTGTCTTTAGAGCAGATTTGTGTGAAGCAAAACCCCCCTGTCACTGCAACAGGATGGCTGAATCTCATATCCAGGGGAATAGCAGGCCAGAGAGCATCACAGTCCTCTGGATCATCCAGAGGAGTGTGAGCACTTCAGCAGAGCACAGAGGCATCAGTGCTACCCCGTGGAGCTGGTGCCACTGCTGCTATCATGTCCTGGGGCTACAATTACTGCGGGCTCACTCACCAGCCACACCAGCTTACTGTAATTTCCCATCCCTGTCCTGGAAACACAAGTCTGCTTTGGATCAGGCCTCAGAGGAAGAAAAGGAGAATGCATGGAAAAAAAAAATCTAAGGCAGGAAAGGGAGAACTAGGAAAGGAACGAGAGACAAGGAGTTAGATCTTCCTCTTCCACACATCAAATAGACAGAGAAAACAAAGGAGACTATTAATGGGGAAATAGAAACTTAAAAAGCCTTCAAGAAATTACTATACTGATTGCTAGTGGTGAATAAACATTCATTCATTTATTCATGGTTTAAAATTTTTCATCATTTTACTGGCAAAAATGGTACTGATCTAATTTTGATAAATGCTTGCTGGACACCTCTTCACTTATAGCAGATATTTAATGCCCTAGTGGCAGGTGATTTTATTCTAAAGCACGCCATCACATTAAGCTTTAGCAATTTGACTTTTAGTGATATTCTTCTAATATGGAAGGCTTATTTCTTAGCATATTCCCCAAAGAAGGCTCCTGGGAATACCCTGATGCTGGTGAATATTCTGGTTTTGTTTTACTTCTACAGTGAAGCATCTTACAAATGTTTAAGAGAAAGGTATTCCTAATTATATAGTGGATTTTCAATACCTACTTTTCTTTTGGGTCAGTCGCTCCTCTTCAGTGCTTCTGAACCTGCTCTGGAAATAAGAAGTGGTAAAACCATGAAATGAATTCATTCTTGCTGTGTTACAAGTCAGCAGAGCTTTTAGGATGCTACAGTTCAGTCTGCAGGCCAGGAAAGCTGCCACAGATTTTGTGTCAGAGCCATGACTGTGTTCCCTTTCACGGGTCACTGAACTAGTGTTCCAAAGGCTAACCCTCTGCAGAAATTCACATGATAATTTCCTTCTGCCGGGCCTGGGACTGATTTCTGTCTGTGTGAAGTCTGTGAGGGCAACTTGTGCAGCTCACAATCACATCACAATGATGTGTTGTGGCCTTGGCTCTGAGGGGAAGCTGCCCTCAGCAGAGGGGCTCAGCAGGAGAGCTGAGGAAATTCGGGCTGTGCCACTTCCCCCTGACACTCCAGCCTGTCCCAAAACACAGGAGCTGCGGCTTTCTCCAGGCAGTCTTGAAATCCTAGTTGGTAATTAGTTCATGCAGAGCTAATTGTAGGTGATTTCTATTGAAAATAATTTAGCACATAACAGAAAGGGCTGGAATGTGAACTCTTCTACAAAGTTCATGCTGGAAAAGCATGGCCTTGCTCTCTCTGTGCTTACTGCCCATTGTAGCCACATTGAAGTTTTCTTCTGAGTCCTGTGGCATTTAAAGCACTGGGCACTGCATTTTCAGCCACAGAATGCTGATCTGTCACAGGGCTGATTACTTTTTTTAAGTAGGAGGAGACAGGAGAAGCAGCATCATGATTTTGATATGCTGCAGTTTGATGTCATCAGGAACATCTAGTGCTCATTTGTGTTACTGAGAACCTACTGCAGGCCATCTCAACATCTGCACACATCAGAACTTGGCTTTACACCAGAGACTTTTAAAGAGTTGCCCTGTGGTACAGGCTGCTAGGATACATTTCTAACCATCAGGGCTTTAAGCTTATCCAGTTATGACTCACAGAAAGAAATCATACCTGGGTCAGCATTACAGACATTTGAGGCTACTATTTTTAAATCTATTTTAAATCACAGCACCTTTATGTGCCACTGTACTCTCAGAATCACTGCTTCATGCTCTTTTCATATTAAAAAAAGGAAAGAAGTAATGAATGGCAGAACCACAACTAAAAGAGACTTAAGGGAATGTCTTATAATGTCTTTCACATGCAAAAAACACATGGACCCAGAATTTGGACATGAAATCAATTTTGTACTCAGTTTTTAACCCCACTTACTGGAGGGACTCTTAGCAGCATTTGGCAGCATTTCTGAGTGCCTTTTCTCTCCTGTGTTAGTGGTTGAGCACTGAGGGAGCTCAGCTGCTTGCATGTTCCCACCTAAACCAAAACTCAGCCCTGCAAGTCAGCAGTAGCTGGTCTGCTTGAGGGGCAGCATCCCCGGCTCAGCCAAGCCCTCAGCTCCTTCCTGAGGCTGAATTCAGGAGGAGCCACAGGTTCAGTGGGAGCTGGAGGCCTTTGTCTTACAAAAATGCCTTGAACTCTTTCCAGACTCCAGAGAAGCTGTGAGACCTTGTGTCTCTCAAGGTGAGATTTGGCCTTTTCAAGAGACAACCTGCTCCTTTGCTCTGTATTTTCCACTCTTTGGAATTGATACAGACGCAGGAACAACTGGATTTCACCCAAACTCACGAACTGACAGTTTTATGCTGTGCTGCTCCCTCTGCGTTTCTGAAAATCCCTCCCTGATACAGAGAAGGAGACCATGCTTTGGTCTTTCTGCAACCCTTTCTAGCTCTGGCACCATTTCCCTTGTTATTCTGCCAGGCATTCACTTCCCAGGTGTACACTTCAGCCTTCCTTCCACAACTGCAAATACAGCTGGCATCTTCCCTACTGCAAGCACTGCTTTCATCTTTCCTCTTCCCCAGCAGCACTTGCACCTCTCAGTGTGCTCTGATACCGGGTTTACAAACAGCAGATTGTGCTTCCATTAACTTCACAACACTTGATGTAGATGCTTGTGGCTTTAGGGACCAAGGCAGGAGCAACACCTCTCACAAAGGCACCACAAATCCACCCATCCAAACAGCTTCATCTAGACATGTCAAGAAACCTCACCAAAGGCAATCCAGAATAACATTTTAAAGTGTAAGACATAATTCACACCCCTAACTAAACCATGAAGGTTTTCTCTCTTTATTTCTGGCAAAACTTTTCATCCCACAGGAGAAATCTTTACACATGTGGCTCTGTATCCTGAGTTACACACTGAGGATGTCCCCAGCTTTAATGAAGCCTTAAGAGATATTGACTGAATCCTTGGGACAAAGACATTTAATCCACAAAATCACCAATCTTTCCTATAAGCAATCAAGATTATTACCTAAATAAAATTGCTTCAGATTTTGAGCAAAATTAATTTTCTATGTTCTTTACCTCTGAAGAGCTGATAGAAAGGCAAGTTTGAAGCTGGCCCACTTCCCACCACCATTGCTGCTCGCCTGTCTATTTATCTCCTACGTCCCTGTGTGGACTAGTCCTGCTCTGTACTATTAAGAATAAATTCTGCTGTGTGACCTCAACTAAAAAAACCCAACTATTCAGCACTTCTAGAGGGACAAGGAATACCTCATTATACTCACGTTGCTCCTCTTCTGCAGATTTAGAAGATAAAAATGAGGACAAATATAATGAAACTCAAAGGGAAGAGCTACATTCAGAGAGAGTGTGTACAGTAGCAAGGATTGCACAGCAGAAATCAGTTCAGTTTCTACATCTGTGTCCACGTAATTTACTGCAATGGATATCAGCTGCCTCCTGGCCTGATCAGCCACTGCTCTACATCTTAGAGAAACAAAAATATCTGTGTATAGTAAAAGCAGGATGACCACTGTACACTAACACCACCACCTTAAACTGCAGTGCTGTAGTGCTAAACATAAAGGTAAAGAAGCAGAGCATAAAGTCTTTCATTTTCATTAGAAACCAGTCTACTTGCATTGCTAGTAGCACTGTGCCTTGATGTCCAATTGAACAAAAAACCCTCCAAATTCAATGCACAGGAGCCCTGTTGAGCTCCTGGGCCTGATTCCCCTCCTGTTCCCAGCACAATCACGAGGTATGATGCTAAATAAAGTGAAAGCCAAAAATTATTTACTTTTAGAAGAAGGCATTTACCTAATTTTTGTTTGTTTATTTGGGACATGTGGTGCCACTGCTGTGGTGCTCAGTGCAGGCAGTGGGAGCAGCTGTAAGGGCTGCTGCTGCAGTGCTCATGGGGCAAGGGAGTCTGGGGTGCCACAAAGGGTAAAAGGCAGTGAAGGACAATGACAGCCAGCAGTAACTGCCTTTATTCAGGAACCAGCAGCAAGACAGTGTGAACAGAAAAGTTTAGGAGAGACTGAAATCAAGACATTGGCTTAATAACCAGTTCTGTCATTTCAATCACAAATAGTGTTGCCTAAACAACATTTTAAAATTTTAATGCCATTCCACTGTTACTCTTACACTAATATACCATACTTTTTCTTCAGAAAATAAGTTAATTTACTTTCCTTAATTTTGCTGATACAAATCTACCTAAAACGAAATTTGCTTTTTTTGATAGTAATGGAATATTTGTGTAACCACCCTTTTTCTTTCCTCCCTGTGTGTGGTGCTGGTTACTATGGTAATAAACGTGACTCAAGATTTAAAGCCTGAAAGTGGTTTCTATAACAACATGCTAGGATGTTTTGGACACACAATTGAAGTTAAAGATTCAGAATTAACTCTTTATGACCACAGCATTTGCAGACACAACAAGTGCTTGTTTGTTTGGCAAAAGTTTGATCATCCCTTCCCAAAGCAGGATTTTCCATGGAGCAGATTGAGCAATAATGATTCCAGCTGTGGCTAGAGCAGGTAGAGTCTGGGGGCTGGTGATTTCCTCACAGGTGAAATATGCAAAGGACAAATGGCACCACATAACTACAAGCTACCCATCACAGTGAATAATTAAGATGGTAATACAAATGTACTGGGACATGGGAAGAGGTAAAATTGTATCCGTGCAATACTTAGAAAGTCTGACACTGTGGAAAAACTGAAATTATTTGTTTATGTGAAAAAGCTATTTTGAGGGCTAAGATAGCCCCTTACCTGGCTCTGTTTTATCCAGAACATGGTTTCCTGTCCTTTCCTTCCTCATCTGGCAAATGCTGATGCAGGAGTGACATCTCTGCCTTTCAGTCCATTGTAAAGGCACCTGATCCCAATCTCTGCTGATTATGCAGCTGTGCTTATCTCTTCCCAGTTCTTCATGATACATCAAGACTGAACATATATCTGCACACCCACAACTTTCTAAGGCTGTCTTTGCAGGGAAGTTATTGTCAGAGTGATGAACTGTATTTTTGTGTCACGGTGCACTGCAGATAAATGGAGAGAGGATTAGTTACACCAAAGCCACGGATGCTCAATGCAGCAGTAAATGCCTTGGGCAATATTTTAATATTTCCAGTTAAATGATAATTATTTCAAGATCTCAGTACAGCAACAGAGCTTGATATTTCAGTGACACAGATCCACACTCTTGTTTTAAAATCCCAAGGGCAGGTTTCAAACAAGTAATGAGCACGAGCATTGAAGGTTTGTGTTTCTGACTCCAGCCACTGGGCTATCTAAATCCTTGCTACCATCCTGTTATCCTGTGACTTTTTTGGTGAGCTGGTTTGATCACAATGTAAGCCTTTAGCTGTGATCAAATGCTGGTTTCTATTCAACAGAACCCAGACTGAAGTAACAGCACTAAGAGAAGCAGTGGTTGCTTCATTTGTGATCTAATTTTCTTTATAGTGACTGACCACCACCAAGATGTCAATTATATATGCTATTCCAACAGATTTTTAAAAACAAAACCAAAACAAACAATCTTCCCCACCCCCCCCAAAAAAAACCCAACAAAAAACAAAACAAAACAAAAAAACCAAACAAACAAAAAACCAAAAAAAAACCCAAAAAAACAACCCACCAAACTCACAGGTAATACATTTTCTGATGTTGAAGCTGGGGGTTTTTTTATAGAGCCAAACATCCTGCTATTGCAATTCAATCCTTCTTTCCTAAAGAGGGTTTTTAAAATTTAATCTCTCAACTCCTAGACCAGGGAAACCCAACAACAACAAAAAAAAAACCCAAACAAACAAAAAACCAAAAAAAAAAATCCAAAAAACAACCCACCAAACTCACAGGTAATACATTTTCTGATGTTGAAGCTGGGGGTTTTTTTATAGAGCCAAACATCCTGCTATTGCAATTCAATCCTTCTTTCCTAAAGAGGGTTTTTAAAATTTAATCTCTCAACTCCTAGACTCCTTTTTTTGCTATTCATTTGTTTCCCCCAAAATGTATGGCTTAGTAAATAGTCAGGTTCTGTTGTGAACTGATTTATCTGCACTGGCTGGTTTAGCTTCATAATTTTAATTCAAATGTGTAAAGTAATAACTCTTTGTTTAAAAAAAAGGAAAGGAAAAAGGTCCTCAAAGTGCAGTAAAATCATCAGTGATGGTGAATATATGGGTATCCAGAAGTTCTCTCTCTTATCAGAGATTTTCTTCCCTCCTAGAAAATAGACTGGCTCTGTTAAGAGGGTCAGAAACTCTTGCAGCATATGTAAAAGATTCCGAGGTTGTTAGTGCTGAGAGCTTCTGTGAAGCTCAGAGTCCTCCTTCAGGGGCAGAAGGCACATCTGAAGAGCAGCACTGCAAATTACAAGCAGCCTTCAGGCACGATGAGCTGATTAGCAAAGTGCAGGCATGGCCACAGCCATGTGAACTCTGGTTCATAACAGCGTGATTAGTAGTGATTGAAATTTGATTTTTAAATACTGCCACTGATTATGATATTTCACCAACTCGTAGGAAGAGTCGTGTCCTGAAAGAACAAGTCTTTGCTGAAAGACATTTCTGACACAAAGAACCCAAAACAGATTGCAAAGGATTTATCTGGGGGCTTTGAGTGGCTGAGATTACTAATTGTCAGAATCTGGGATCATCAATTCACTTTGCTTTTGATCTTATCAACTTAATTTAGAAGAATATTTTGTAAAATGGACATGAGCCCAGTAAATCTCTGATTCAAACAGGATCTAGGAAAAAAACCCTCGAAATTGTCAGGAAAGACACGCAGATGAGCTTTTCAAAATTACCTGCTTTATTGAGGAACAATCATCAGATTATCTGTGCCAAAATGCTTTGGCCATTTCAAAATCCCTGCCTTGTTTATGACAGCTTTTCCCCAATTCAATTTTGGCCTTCTATTCTCATTGACATGCATTTCTAACATCATAAAAATTGTTTTGTATCACTACAGTAGTTTCTGATCATTCAGAAGCCTTTACCAGCCAAAATTATGCATTTTTAGTGCTTATTAGCTATATAAGCTCAATTATTCATACACTAACAAGATCACTTCAATGAATTTAAATAATCTTATCCAAGAGCAAAAAAAAAACAAAGCTAAAACTGTCTTTTTCTTGGCATTTCTTATATTGAGTTCTGTGTGCCAGTTCCTGTAATAGCTGCAGGTATGGCCATGTTTCTGGTAGTGTGGATGCTGTGCCAGTAGATGGCAAGCTTTACTGCAAAGAATTTCACTGCCAACCATCTCATCTGCATCTCAAGGATTTAACCATGGGGCAAAACGCTTGGCACTAAATCCTCTTGTAATTAGATTAAAGTACCACTGTTTACAAGGAGACTGATAATTACCTCAAGTGTCAGTCAATGTAAATCCAAAGCAATCAGCATTTTGTTTCCATTTTTCCTAAGTTTAGGAGTTTTAAGAGTCTGTCAGAACAAGTCACTGCTGAAATGACCTTAATTGCTTAGGAATGAAAAGCAGCTCCTCTGCACATCTGAGGTAGAGCATGAGGCTTTTCCTCGTTGTCCTTCTGCAACCTGGCCAAAACCCAAGCTCCACTGAAACATTTCTGTCCCTTTGCAGCTCTTTCTGTGAATGCAGAAGAGAATATTCCTTAGGCATCTGCTCAAACGGAGACAGTCTTTGCATCAATCATCATACTGCATCACAGGGTATGCAGGAGCTTCCACCTGCCATACTCTTCATCCTCCTTCCACGCAGCTCTCAGCTCAGGAGGTTCCCAAATCCCTCCTTCCACATCACTCCAGAGCAGCAGGCAAACTCAGTTTCCATAGGGTAGCAATGGAGTTAGAGCAAATAACTTACCTGAAACAGATGGAAAATGGTGCTTGAACTAGCACTCCAGAATCCAAGGATTGGTTGAGGCACTCACATCATTCAGGAACATGATTAAAAAAAAAAAAAAAAGTCATGGACATGTCCAGGTGAACTGCCTACCATTTGATAACCATGGTGTGCTAACTGCACACCTCTGATGATCCCCTTTTTGAGATGCAGTTTTGCTGCTGAGACAAACTGCTATAGAGTACCCTTCAACTCTTGGTCCCAGCCTTTAAACCACAACCAAGCTAAAACTCAGCATGGTTACATCTCTGCTAAGACCTTCAGAACTCCTGTGTCCCTCAAAAACTACACAAATAATAAAATCCATGTCACAGTGTATTAAAGACAGAACATCAAAAATGTTGCTCTTTTACTATAAACTTGTCATACAAATCCGACAAGAGTATCCTCTAGAGAATATTTGATTTATTGAATTGTTTGTTGGTAATTTCTGCATAAGAAATTCATTTTATAATAGCTACAAAAGTTGAAATTAAAACACTGCTTTAAAAAAAATCCAGGAAAGTTTTCTGTTTCATGTTTTTCCCATAGTGATGTCACCCTGCAGACAAATTGGTTGCCTTCATTCCATACAGACAGTGCTTTTAGAGCTGTCTTTCCCCTTCCCTCTTTTCCCTCCACTCTTACTGCCTCAGAGAGCTATGAAGCTTTTTAGCCAGTGTTCACAGCTACTCCTGATATCAAAACTGCACACTGGCAAACGCATCGTGTCCTCACACAGTCATTATAACAAACTCAGCCTGTTGCATGCAAATTATCTCTGGAAAAGCAGTAATAATTAACTAAATTGCTTCTCATGTCACTGTGGTCCTGTGTAAGAAAGCACTCGAATGACTGACCTCACCTCTTGTAGCTTACAGAGTACAACAGTCAGACAACATTATAACTTGATCATAATTAATTTCTTCAAATTTGCAATGTTTCCCCAAACACGCACTTTAATGAATTTTAAATAGGTACACAGACTGAAAGGAAAGCTCTCTAAAGTTGTGCAAGGAAAATGCAGGATGCAGAAGTTCGTAAGGAACACAGTTTTGCTCATTTAAACGGTAATTAATAGATTGCAGTAAGCTCTGCATTATCCAGGCTAAAGAAAAAACCTAAATTCATGGGCAAAGCACAAAATTATGCAAACCAGGACATCAGAACATACATGCTGAGGAAGAGAAGGGTCCGAATTACTGCTCACAGTGGTGCAGGTCAGTACATGTGACCAATGTCTTGAATTTTTGCATTCAGTGAGAGCTCTGAGCTGGAGCAAGTGCAACCAATACCACATCAGGATGAAATATCTGCTCCCAAAAGTGATTATTAACAGGTTTGGGGAGGGTCATTTTAAAGGCAGGCTAATCCAGAAGTACTATTTTTGCCCAATTTTCCTTCAAAGAACACGAGGTAACACTCCAGTTCTCCTCCTGCTAATCAATGTTTGCTTTCTATGTAATCCTTAAGACCACTGTTGGTTTTAAATCATGGTGTCACTCTTGCTATCTTTACTACATAAATCTCTATTCCCCTTGTTCAAACAAGTATTAATTACTTATCTGGCTCAGTAAACGTACCTATTGATGAATATCAAGTTCATTCAGACTGGTGCTTCTAATTCTCAGAGGCACTGCTGCTCCTGTGTACACCTCAAGTCAGAAAGCACAATAGTCATGCACAGACAATTTTTAAGCCTTTCCATTTACTATTTTAGTGTCAAATCTATACAAGCAGTCTTTCCTAAGTAGTTAAGCCTTCTGATACTTTCTTCCTCCACCTTCCCCTCTTAGGAGAAAAACAGATTAAATTGTATTATTAAATTAAAATGCACACCATGGAAACACACCATGACCAGTCAGTTTGTATTCTCTGACACACCCCCAGGGTTGGTTGGTTGGTTGGTATCCTCAGGTGACCAACCCTAGCCTCTCCTTTTTCCAGGGATCTGTCACAGACCTTTATCAGCCTTGGTCTAACTCCAGTCACTGGAGTCTCCATCTCTGCTCACCTCTTCTCTTTCAGTGCC